GGTCCCTGGTAGGTCTGAACTCCTTAGCTAATGTCCCGGTCTAACATAACACACATTAGCCCGATAAGCTCCAGGGAGCCGTAGGGGCTCCCCACAGAAAATACACCAAGTGCCGGTAAAGATGCGTAAATACACCAAGTTCCAATTACAAAATAGGGAAGGGAACAAAAGCAGCAAGCCTGAAGCCCCACCACCAACTGTGCCAGTCCCAGAAAACTGGAGAGGAACGTGCCAAGAATTGACCTGGAGGTCCAGGGCCACCATCCAGGCACCCGGCCCCAACAGAAGCCGGACAGGAGACAACAGTTCTCCCATGAGGGCATAGAAACCAGGGCGCAGACTGAAGAAGTCCAGATATACCGCAGATTCGACAGGCCCATGTCTGCAAAGAGCAGACGGGAACCCCAGAAGAATGGGGCGGAACGACTACGTCCAACGCACCCACTAAGATGACATGACGAAGCGCAGGGGAAGAAGCTCACCCCGCCAGCTCTGAACTCACCAAAGGGGGAGAGGCCGTCCACCACCGCCACCAGAGTTCGGAAGACAACCAAAAGCGCCCACTAACTGTGGGACCATGCGAGAGTCAACAGAGCAAGCTGTTTCCCCAAGGCCCGTCAACAGAGAAGGGAACAGAGCCCCTTCCGAAAGAAAAAGCATACATACATATAAATATATACACATCATGCATATACACATACATATACACATACACACATATTCTAGGCCAATGCTAGAATATGCAGCAGTTGTGTGGTGCCCATATCTTAAGAAGATATGGAACCTGGAGATATGAGACCTGGAACTTTAAGAACAAGAGGTCATATATTTAAACTAGCTAAACACAGATGCCGAAGAAATATAAGAAAATTCACTTTCGCAAGCAGAGTGGTAGATGGTTGGAACAAGTTAGGTGAGAAGGTGGTGGAAGCCAAGACCGTCAGTAGTTTCAAAGCGTTATATGACAAAGAGTGCTGGGAAGACGGGACACCACGAGCGTAGCTCTCATCCTGTAACTACACTTAGGTAATTACAAGGTATTTTACACACACGTGTATCGTATTTACTCAGTTTCTATGATCGAGCAACAGAGATATTACAGGAAAGAGATGGTTGGGTTTACTGCATCTATCTGGACCTAAAAAAGGCTTTCGACAGAGTTCCACATAAGAGGTTGTTCTGGAAACTGGAAAATATTGGAGGGGTGACAGGTAAGCTTCTAACATGGATGAAAAAATTTCTGACTGATAGAAAAATGAGGGCAGTGATCAGAGGCAATGTATCGGACTGGAGAAATGTCACAAGTGGAGTACCACAGGGTTCAGTTCTTGCACCAGTGATGTTTATTGTCTACATAAATGATCTACCAGTTGGTATACAGAATTATATTAGCATGTTTGCTGATGATGCTAAGATAATAGGAAGGATAAGAAACTTAGATGATTGTCATGCCCTTCAAGATGACCTGGACAAAATAAGTATATGGAGCACCACTTGGCAAATGGAATTTAATGTTAATAAATGCCATGTTATGGAATGTGGAATAGGAGAACATAAACCCCACACAACCTATATATTATGTGAGAAATCTTTAAAGAATTCTGATAAAGAAAGAGATCTAGGGGTGGTTCTAGATAGAAAACTGTCACCTGAGGACCACATTAAAAATATTGTGCGAGGAGCCTATGCCACGCTTTCTAACTTCAGAATTGCTTTTAAATACATGGATGGTGATATACTAAAGAAATTGTTCACGACTTTTGTTAGGTCAAAGCTAGAACATGCAGCGGTTGTGTGGTGCCCATATATTAAGAAGCACATCAACAAACTGGAAAAGGTGCAAAGACACGCTATTAAGTGGCTCCCAGAACTGAAGGGCAAGAGCTACGAGGAGAGGTTAGAGGCATTAAATAAGCCAAAACTAGAAGACAGAAGAAAAAGAGGTGATATGATCACTACATACAAAATAGTAACAGGAATTGATAAAATCGATAGGGAAGATTTCCTGAGAGCTGGAACTTTAAGAACAAGAAGTCATAGATTTAAACTAGCTAAACACAGATGCCGAAGAAATATAAGAAAATTCACTTTCACAAACAGAGTGGTAGACGGTTGGAACAAGTTAGGTGAGAAGGTGGTGAAGGCCAAGACCGTCAGTAGTTTCAAAGCGTTATAGGACAAAGAGTGCTGGGAAGACGGGACACCACGAGCGTAGCTCCCATCCTGTAACTACACTTAGGTAATTGCACGTGCATGCACATACACATGTGCACACACACACAGTGTACACATGTACATGTGTACACATACATACATGTGAAAAGAAAATTACAAGCCGCAGACCAGTGGGCAGAGAGCACCATGCCGGCCAGGCGAAGAAGGCACAAAACTGCATCAAAAGGCCCACCTCGACAACAAAACCTCAAAGTCCCAGTACGACCACAACACGTGCCAAGACCCAAAAAGATCAGTCTGCAAGCCAGGAAGACCCTGGAACTCCAGAAGGCAGAACCGGGTCACACAGGAGGAAACAAAGCCCCCTGAACCCACAAAGGTGGCCCAAGAGGAAGAAACCTCCGGAACGAAACCAAAGAACCCAAAGGAACCCGGAATTGAACCAGGGGGAGCCAAAACCACCACATTTGCCGACGGAGATACACCACAGAAGGCAAAGCACAGCCCCTAGACAGAACCCCCAGGGAAACGGTCAAAACAGACCGAAAACCAAGGGACAAGGTGTGGGAGCAAGCATAACAGCCAGGGACACTGAGCCCAAACCCAAGGGCCCAGACCTAAAACAGACAAAATAGAAAACCCGGTGTAAAATCAACACGCAAACGTTCCCAGAGGAACAATTAATGGGGAAAAATCACCAGAAAAGCAAAGAAACGACAACAGGAGAATAAAACCCCTGAAAAAAGGTGAAAACTCACCCAAAATGCTCGCTCGCACACCCAGGCGCATGTAAACAAACAGCAACGCCGCCCTGGTGGCCACGCCAGGAAACCGGCAAAGAAAATGGCAGCCAGAACAGAGGGCTGTGACTGACGCAAAAGATACGAAAACACACCAGCAAAAGTGGGAAGCAAGCAGACTGTATGGGCGAAAAACTCCACCCAAAAGCAGAAAACCCAGACAGGGGCAAACCGCCCCAGAACTGCTAGCAGGCATCAACCACAGCCCCGGGAATCAGCAACAGAGGCCCCGGAGCAGAGCCGTCCTCCAAGCCCTCCGCCCTTAAAGAAAAGCAAGAGTCCATGGGAAAGGCAGCAAGAAAGGGCCGCTGGTAAAACCCAAAAGCCTTGGCAAGAGGAACAGGCTCGAAAACCTCTGTCCCCAACCAGAACGGGGCAGCCCCCGAAAACCGCCCGAGTCTCGGCCCCAACTAAACCCGGCCCGACCCCGAAACCCACAGACAGTCCGAAGCCGGGGACAGGGAGGGAAAGGGGCGAGCAGCACCTAACCAAAATGGGGCGGCCCCTGGGCATCCGAGTGGGAAACCAACCTAGCGTGTTGCAGCAACCTAACCTAGCTTGCAACACGGATGCCGCCTGTACTCTGAACAGTAATAACATCAGAAGAGTACTGGAGAACAAGCAGAGAATATATCTCGGAAGACTCTGGGTCAAGGTGTCAGTGACCCAACAGGCAACATGACGGAGGTAAAAGTGGCAACTCACCCGGAGACAAGGGCACAGCAACCAACGATCTCGTACAAGACGGGTTGGAACCCGGAAGAAACATTCAATGGGTCCATCGAGCCCCGATAGGGGTTTCCAGGGCCCGTAGGCTGACTGCTACGGGAAGCCCGAGCAAGGTGTTGCTAACCGGTTAAGAAACCTAAAAATAACAAGAGGGTAGAGGACAACACTGAAAACCCCTGCGACGTGTACAATCACGGGGGCCTAGCAGAGGGCCACCAAACGCTACTAGTGGAACTATAGCCACATTAGGCAGATCCCCACCAGGCAATTGAAAATTAAAACGAAAGAAAAACCCCGCAAAAGTACACCGTCTCCAGAGGCAACAGGAACCGGCTGCCGCTTAGGTGGCAGGTCGCGCAACACCTTGACGCTCTAACCAGCACAATACCAGTCCCTACCCAAGGCCAAACAAGGGCCCCCATCCCCAGCTGGCTCCAAGGGCGAGGCAAATGCCGAGCAGCAAGAACCTCTGCGAGAATGGTTCCCGAACATCCCAGGGAAGATAACCCCTGTCACGCAGGGGCAGTACTCACAGGGCGCTTAGGGAAGCAAGCCCCTAAGTGCACGCAGCCCCGGTACTGATGAGGTACTCCTGGCCACCGCACAACACAACACACAACAGTGAACGCCACACAAGGCAAACACCGCCTAGGAAACTGAGGACAGAGAAGCGTCTATCCCAGTTGACATTAGCTTACGAACTGATGCTAGGCAGCCGGCGCAGTAAGTCCGGGACTCCCGCATCCCCCCTCTCGGGGCGGGGAGAGGTGCGTGGATGATCGGCGCGGTAGTAAAGTGTGATGTTTGCTTGTTTCCTTGGATTGTAGGGAGTTTCTACCTCTCTGTTCCTTTTTTTGATTGAGTTTTTTACCATGTAGGGTTTGTTTTGTTATGCCTACCTTTCTGGGTGTCTAACCCCGGTCGATGGTAGATAAGGAAAACCCCAACCACATGGGGGTTTTCCAGGGCCAATGCTCCCTGAAACCTCTCTGAAGGGGCCAGGTTCTGGCACTGGTCCCTGGTAGGTCTGAACTCCTTAGCTAATGTCCCGGTCTAATATAACATACATTAGCCCGATAAGCTCCAGGAAGCTGTAGGGGCAAATCGGGTCTTGCATAGTAGGCTGAGAAGTGCGTTCTGGCTACTAGGTACGACATATATATTATATATTATATATATATTATATATATTATATATATATATATATATATATATATATATATATATATATATATATATATATATATATATATAAATTGGTTATTACAGTACTGTACTTTAAAAACTTAAATTTACCTGAAAACGGATAATTTTGCCAGAGATCCTGTGGGTTCAGAATCTTCTTTTATACGAGAAGCATTAGAGATGTCGCCATAAATACTAATATCTAAGGCAGCAGGATTAACTTCTTCCATCGGTCTAATTGCATCTTGAAATGAATGATGAATCAAGGTACAGTCCTGCAAATAATGTTAAAACTTTTGTTAGTTCCAAATACTTTGCATCACCAAGTAGGTTCCGTACAAACATGACAAGAGATAAGAACAAGAAAAGTGGACAAAGTTCAGAGTTAAGACTGGCAGGAAAATACAAACTTCTACACTCAAAACATTCTTCAAGCAATACTTTAAATTAAATACTCTGCCATAAGTTAAATACTTAGTATAGTATAGTCAGTTTTTGCCAAGTATAGTTTAGGCCTCCACCTTAACATGGAGGCCTTAGTTCTCAGGCCTCCATGCTGAGGTGGAGGGGACTTCCCAGCATGGAGGCCTGACCCCTGCTGGCTCACAGAAACAAGAGCCAAGGTCATGAAACAGATCTTGCACAGAGAACAGTTGCCCCAGAGCCCTTATGCAGAAGTTTAAACAAATCCAGCCCAAAAGCCTTCCCAAGGACAGAGGAAGGGGCAGGTTTCAGCCTGAACACCTAATGAAATGGTTGAAAGTACAACCTAGACCCCACATCTACTGAAGCACCTCCTCAGGAAAATAAAAAAAAAATGGAAAGGAATTGAAGAGCAAGAGTGAGGGTCCAAGCACATTTTATGAACAGGCCAAGCACCTAATTCCCGTAGCTGCAGGAATTAGGCAAATTCCTAATTCCTGATGTGCAGTGGAAAAGTAAGGAACCAAATCCTAAAAGATTGGAACCAACATCTTGGGCAGAGCTTCTAGTGCCACAGAAGCTGAAACAAAAGAAAGCCAAGAACATAAATCTAACAGCTGACCCCAATCAGATTATAGCCGAAAGAAGTGCTACTGGAAGGCATGGAATTTACAACATATGCCATGCAGGTGTGGTAAAAGATTGGAAAATCTGTCCACTCAAGCACCTGGAATCTGCAAAACCACCACCACTTTCCTGTGAATATAATAGGATTGACTGCCAGTAAGGAGGAAACCTGATACAACAGCCAGAAATTAGAAGAAGAACCAAATTCAAGTAGAACAGGGTCTAGTTCTAACACAATTCAGTTTCCAAGGAAAAATAACAAATTCTGTCAAGTTTAACCCACAAGAAGATGTGATTGAAGGGAACCTGTCTGATACTAAAATGTCAGTACCACCATCAGCACAACAAATCAAAAGTGAGGTAGATAAGAGAAGGCATCATATTAAAACTTGGGAGAGGAACACATGAGCACACAGACTTATTGTACTCTTAGAGCATAAGTTCACTGTACATGCAACAACAGTTTCCATGGATAGACACACGTTACTTAACTGAATACATGGGTCTCTGCCCAGCAAGGAATGTAAGGTCTAGAAAAGCCAATGTTGGCGTTGTCACCTGGTAGTATTCTGGGGTGGTTTACCTGTAGTCTGTAGATTAATCTATAGTCCATTCTAAGAGTTCTTCTATTCCCTAAGCCTGACATGGGGCCAGGCTTGTCTTGTGATAATTTGATCTAAAAGGCTATTGCTTGGAACTGCCACAGGCCCACATATTCGGGTTCAAATACTGGGCGGGGCAGAAATGGTTGAGCACAATTCTTATCACATAATGCACCTGTTCTCCTAGCAGTAATAGGTACCCAGGAGTTAGTCAGCTTGTTGTGGGGGTTGCATCCTGGAAAGGGTCAGTAATTCAACCATGGGGAGACCTCAACATAATCCTAATATGTTTTGTATGTATAAAATGGCTGCCTGTCCCCTGATACAATGAATTACTGTATATCCATTACAAGCTGACTGACCTGCCACTTCCTACAGGAACTTGTCCAATATCGTTGCATTCCAACAATATTTCATTAGTCTCTTACTTATCCACCAGACAAGGGTAAAGCAAATGAAAGTTACTGGTATAATACAAGGTCAGACCTTGCATTTACATGCTTGTCAAGTCCAGGTTGGTTAGCTGCTCTCCATCAGCTCTCAGGCCATTTTTCCTGACCACCTCTGTTGTAGAGGACACCAACGTCATTACATTTCTTATATTTGGTGGGAGGAGTTCTCTGATTGTGCCAATGGCACCTCTACTCTTCACTGGGTCTATTTTGCATTTCCTTTCAAATCTCTCTCCCCGGTGAGTTATTTTATTGCTGGCCACAAAGGTCAACTATCAATTAACACACCAATACAATATACTCTTTGAGGTCGAGTTTAGCTTAGGGGGAGTTTTGAGTGCACTGTACATGCAGCCATTATGAATGAATCTTCTGAAGGTTATTCTGTGCTGGTTAGAGAAATCTCCATTGTCTCCATTCCCATAGTAATAGCCTGTGGAAAGATTCCTGCTACACCAGGGAATAAATACTGACATGGCCAAGCTGTTTTAGGGAATGTCCTTGTCAGAGCAAGTCACTGCCTAAATGATCAATCCAATAATATAGTTCCAAGAAAGGAGAAAAGCTAAATTGTTGATGCATGGTAATTAGCTTTTCACTTACCTTACCAACAGACAATAAGCTGTTTGGATCAGCACGCCAACAGATGCCTGTTGTAAGATTCTTGTGTTCATTAAAAGCAGCTAGAGGTATGTAAGGCCGTCGTACATCCCATACATTGATGCTGCAGTCACATAGCAGAGCAGAGCTGGGAATATAAAGTTATGATCAACATTCAGATTTGTTAAGTTGATGGGGTTTATTTTTACATTTATATGATGATAAAAGACAGACCTTCCCATCTACACAAGCTATAATGTATCAGTTTAAATTTTTACCCCATTTCCCATATTTCATTACAATTAGAGCAACCTGCTAAAAATGGATAAAAAGTGAATTGAAGGTAACTGGAGTAAAACCTGATCTTTCAAGTGATTATGCACACACTGCATCACCACAGGAAGCTCATACCACCTCACTATGATTCCATGGTTGTTTAACCACTGCACTGCGCAATGCGCCTCAAGGTTCTCAATGGGTGGTGCGCAACGTGCTTCAGGGATCTCATAGGTATAGCGTATGATTCAAAACTCCTGTGGCTACATGGGTTTACATCAGCTTCTTCAGGGCTATTGTAAACAGATGCCTATTTTTTTTAAATCGTGAGCAACATTCCCGGGTGTGAGAGCCTCAGTACTAAGTGAGCCACCAAGGCTGGTACATGCAGCATGAGCTCACAGTATTGTTGTTCAGCTTGTGACCACAGCACTGCCTAATAATGTCAAAATATATATGTTCAGTGGAACCTCGAGTGACGAGCGACTCCAGTTACGAGCATTTCGAGTAACGAGCAAGCCATTCGCAGAAAATTTGTGTCAATTGACAGCTTCTGCTTCATTTTCTTTTTATATATTTTTTTTTTCAGGGAAATTCCTGCACGGGCCCTAAGCCTCTAGCTGGCCCACTAAGTGTTGCTTGTTTCTGTTTTACTTAGGCAGAGTGTGAGAATTTATGACTCGCATGGTCACTTCAGTAAGATTTTGCCCAATGTGTTTAACAACTTCTTCTGCTATGTTGAATCTAAGTTGAAATCTTATTGGGTTTGTAACTGTGTATCCGCTCCATTAAGGAGCGTTCCCACTGGTTCTCACAAATTCTCGGACGTCTCCGACGATGCAAATCTATGATTTTTTTTTGTTAAAAGATGCTAATGATGCTAGGATGTAAAGGGGTGACTGCTGTAATGTTGCAAAGCATTGAATTCTTTTTTTCTTACTTTTTAGAAAAAATTAAAAAGAAAATTGAAATTTTTTTCATATTAAAAAAATTTGAAAAAAGAACAAATGTCATGAAGATTCTTTCAGTGTATGTCAGGTAGACTGCTCCATTATTTAAAAAATCGAACATCATATTGATGTTTTTCAGTAGTGGAACGAATTAATTTTATTTTCATTATTTTAAATGGGGGAAATTCGTTTCACAAGAGGAGCCTTTCACATGACAAGCTCGATGCAGGAATGGATTAAATTCGTTAATTGAGGCACCACTGTAATTGGTATTATTTAGCCATGATAGTATTACAGAAGAGCCTGAGTATGATAAAGACTATGTACAATGTTCAAATATCAGTGAATCAATGCTGTTCAAAAAATGTTCACAGTGCTAGCCACAGCACCACAGCATTATTTCGTCCATCTAGGAATCTTCAAATGACTTCTCATGTTCCTTTACAAAATAAACTTGTGGTAAATTATTCATTTATAGGATTTAGTGACCAGAATTCTGATCATAGCAGGATTGTGGTGATAATTAGCACTGTGCATAGTACTGTGGGAGGAGGAATTTTGATGAGGAGGGAGGGAAATGAGGTAGCCTCACTGTGTGTGCCAGCCACTCTTGTTTTGCTCACCATACTAGCTTAGTGGTTCATTATGGTGAACACATATGTACATGGGTATATATAATGTGTGTTTATATACTCATGTACATATGTGCGTAGTATTGTGGGAGGAGGAATTTTGGTGCGGGAGGGAGGGAGAGATTCGAGGCAGCCTCACTGTGTGGCAGCCACTCTTTGTTTTGTTCACCATACTAGCTTAGTGGTTCACTACGGTAAACACATATGTACATGGGTATATACAATGTGTGTATATAGTGCAATAACAGCAACAGGAGTATGTTGGGAGGAGCTGTTTTGGTGAGGGAGATGACGTCGTAATCGTAGCATCGTCTGCTGTCTGCTGTGTGATTTCTCATGCAGTGTATGGTGACCATTGTACTGTTTGGACACAATGCCAGCTTACTTGCATAGTTCTGATGAATAAAACATGTAGATAGGTAAACATAACATGTGTAAATAGTGTAATAAAAACAATAACAGTATGGTGGGAGGAGCAATGTTCGCGAGTAAGATGTTGGAGGAGTGAGAGAGGATTGGCTGCGTGTGGCAGCTCACACTCGCGGAGTTCTGAGTGTGTTGATGGTGAATGTATATAGTGTGGGACAGTGTATAATGTGTAAATATGTTGTAAATATACATAAATTAACATGAAACATTGGTGTGAATAACAGTATGGTGGGAGGAGGGGTGATGACGAGTACGATGTTGGAGGAGCTGGCTGGGTGTGGCAGCTCACACTTGCAGAGTTATGAGTGTGTTTATGGTGTGTGTATATAGTGTGTTATACTGTACAGTGTATAAATAAATTGAATATATACATATATTAGCATGATACATTGGAAATATGTGCCGGATTTGTGTACACACGTATCATGCACGTAACACAGTGTCTTCGGACAGTACGGACTTTCTACTGGCAATAATATAGTTATCTTGAGGTTATCTTGAGATGATTTCGGGGCTTTAGCGTCCCCGTGGCCCGGTCCTCGACCAGGCCTCCACCCCCAGAAAGCAGCCCGTGACAGCTGACTAACACCCAGGTACCTAATTTACTGCTAGGTAACAGGGGCATAGGGTGAAAGAAACTCTGCCCATTGTTTCTCGCCGGCACCTGGGATCGAACCCAGGACCACAGGATCACAAGCCCCGCGTGCTGTCCGCTCGGCCGAGAGTGTACCTGTTCATTATACATAGGATTGACACATAAAAACAAATAAAATGTATTTGGAACTGTGCGCAAAAAATTAACAAAAATATATTCATGGTAACTTGTGCATCTTGAGCCGCGCACCCTACTGGCCCCGGGAGCGTAAGCCACAGGTGACCAGGGAATGACGACGTCACGCACGAACTCACTGACCCCATAGCAGCCCGAGTAAGTACAATTTCGACCTTTTGTCACCATGTCCATACTCAGGGAAGGGTTTTTGAGACTCAAAACAAAAAATAATTTTTTCCAAAGAATTTATTTTCAGCACACCGGGGGGAGGGGGTGGGGGGGTTCCACATTTAGAAGCCGAGCAGATCAGTGGTTAAACAAAGGTCTCTTACATAAACAGAAATGAGGCCATGCCTACCTTCCACTGCACTGAAGTGGGGAGATAAAAAATCTGTCAATCAACATATTAGCCATGCTCCAAATGTCAATTGCTTAAAAGAGGCTAAACTCCGAGAATGCAGAAACAAGGCCAAGGCTAGATTTTAAAACCAACTAGAGAGAATACCTCAAGTACCCCTTGGTTTAATGGGTCACCATAACACTGTCAAAATACAATTGAATAGCCAAGCCCTGCAGAAAAGAGAAATGTCACTGAAACCACCATTAACACACCTATATCAGGGTCAGGGTAAATCACTATTTACCTCTATACATTTTCTCTACCATTTTGTGCACATGCATCTCTTGTAAAAATACTTACACTTTTCTACAAAGTATAGCCATCCTGTTCCACAAATTTTTCTCATAAATATATATCACTATTGTGATTTCATTGTGTAAACATCAATTGTCCTTGGTGACCCATAACTAAGTTGGCCTCTTTTGGTTGCTTTAATGTCAACTGTCATCAGCGGACGATGTCAGACCGATGTCAAGACAACCAAAAATGCCTACTGGGGGGAAGAGGCTTATGAAAACATTTAATAAGTTACAGCTATAAAATTCTGTTTGCTATTTCTGAATCATCAATAAAACCTTAAACCACTGACCTTGCAATGTGATACTTTGTGTTGGGTCTCCATTTCACTCGGCCAACTGAGGCAATGGTCTGAATGGTGTTGCACACGGTCGGATTGTCATTTAAATCCCATACCTGTTGAAAATAAAATACTGTACTTTCATAAACAAAAATAAGAAGCACAAAAAACCAGCGTTGAATGTAATGAAACGCCATTTTCTGGGTGAGTCCCGGAGGCTCCCTGGAGCTATCCCAGGCTGATATGCTAATGTCAGACTTTGGCATCAGTCATGTGTATGGAGTTCTTTGGCCTACCGGGGACCACGGCCAGAACTGGGCCCCCTCAGAGAAGCAAGGGGAGCAATGGCCTATAGAAGCCCCCATGTGGTTGGAAGCATTCTATGTCTGCCATCAACCGGAACAGGCACCCAGAAAGGTAAGCGCCTCAAAACAAACCCCTATTCTGGTTGAAATTGCTACCAAAAGCCGAACGAGTGGATAGAACTCCCCAACCGAAAACAAGCAAACTAGTGTGACGTCACACACCGCCGCGCCGCTGTCTGCGCAGCTCCCCCCTCCCTGGGAGGGTGAAGGGGGAGCCCCAGACCCCCCACGCCGGCTACCCACACCTCAGTTCTTGAGGTTGGATGTCAAAAACGCGAAAAACTGCCGACCGGAGGGAGGGAGGGATGCCGGGGAGCCTCCGGGACTCAGCCAGAAAATGGCGTTTCATTACATTCAACGCTGGTTTTCTGGGGGGAGCCCCGTCGGCTCCCCAGAGCTAACTACCCACAGACAGAAAAAAAAGAGGGACTTACCCAGGAGGCGGTCGTCGCTCACTCCTCAACTCGAAGCCGAGACAACTGGCTGCAACCGCCAACCCAAAGCAACACAGGCCCGACGAGGCCCAGGGACATTCACAAGGTAACGAGCAGCCAGGACCCTGTTCGACCGCCAAAATCCCCGCGCCCGAATATCAGACCAAGACATATTCCCAAAGACGGCAGCAAAGGCCGCAAACTTACGAACGTCATGGGCACGGGGATAGACCGCAGGCTGGCTGGACTTAATAACCCTGTGGACGACCTGGGAGACCCGAACCCGCGAACAGGGAAGAAGGGAAACCGGATCAACCCACAGCGCGTCCCCGGACACAGAAGCTGTGGCGCGCAAATAACGGCGAAGCGCCGCAACCGGACACAAAACATGATGCACCCCCGGCCTGACCAACCAAGCATCAACCACCCATGGACCCCTCCAGAACGCAGCAGTCTCATTCTTCGCCAGGAAAGAAGGAGACGGCTGCAAACGAACAAAACAATCACCACGACCAAAAGAGCAGAAACCCCTGCGCCGGAGGAGAGCATGAAGCTCCCCTACCCGACCCCCAGAGACCAAAGCCAACAAGAAAAGTGCCTTGGAAAAACAATCCTGGACCGAAGGGGCCACAACGAAACGAGGAGACGAAAGGAAAGCGAGCACTCTTTTCAAAGACCAGGACGGCTCAGGCGACGCATGAGCAGGCCGGAGGTGAAACAATGCACGAGACAGCTTGCGAAACGGCGCAGACGTAACATCGATACCGAAAGCAAGCTGAAGCGGCTCCGCCAGCGCCGCACGATACGAAGCGACAGTGTTTGGCATAAGATGACGGTCCTGAAACAACCACGAGAGGAAGGACAAGACCACCCGAACAGACAAGGAACTAACACGACGAAGATGAAAAAAAAAACGAAAGGACCGCCAGGAAACTTCATACTGCCGCCGAGAAGAAGTCCTCAGGTGGGACACCAACAAGGAGGCCACCTGATCACCATAGAGATGATGATAGACTCGAGTCAAAAAAACCATACGCGAAGACTCGAGGAGAAGATCGAACCAGCCACGTGACGTACCGGCCCGATCTGCTGAAAGAGGCGGAGCCGCGGGAAAACCCTCGGGTTCGGATACTGAGCAACCAGTGCCTGAAACCAAGGCTGGGCCGGCCACCAAGGGGCCAGAAGGACAACTCTCCCCTGGTAAGTCTCTAAGCGAGTCAGGACCTGGAGCAACAGCCGAACCGGGGGAAAGAGGTACAGGAACCCCCACCTCGACCAGTCGAGCCGAAAGGCATCGACCCCGACGGCCTCGCAATCGGGGAAGGGCGCCGCATAAACGGGAAGACGCCGCGACCACGCCGACGCGAAGAGGTCCACGTCGGGCGCCCGAACGTCTGGCAAAGCCAACGGAAGGACTCGTCGTCGACCGTCCACTCCGTGGAGAGGGGAACGAAGCGAGACAGGGCGTCGGCCAAGACGTTGGACACGCCCCGTACGTGAACCGCCAGGAGAGCCAAACCCCGAGAACTCAGCAGACGAGTCACCCGAAGCGACCAACCCCAAAGAGACAAGGACCGCATCGACCCCCCGCGGTTCAGGCAATGAACCACCGGAGAGCAGTCCGAATGGAGCCGAATCGTCGATCCGCGGGCCACCCGAATCCTCCCCAGAGCAAACCACACTGCCGCGAACTCCCGCACCGTACTGTGAGCTCGACGGAAGGACGGATCCCAACGCCCCTGGCTGGCCTGGTGAGCACTGGTCACAAAACCCCAGCCGAGAGACGACGCATCCGTGTACACATCGAGCGAGGGCTCGGGTAGGCGCCAAGGCACTGAACCCCGAAAAACCCGAAGAGGAAGCCGGTGACGCAGCAACCGACGCAAGTCCCCCGGGGGTCGAACTCTGTGATCGCGAGAGAGGCGGAAGGGGGAACCCCGAAGGAACCAGAACAGCCGTCGAAGCCAAACCCGACCCGGCGGGTAGACCACCATCGCGAAGTTCAGGCTCCCGCACAGCCCCTCGAGCAACCGCCGGGTGACCCGAGGGCCCTCCAGAAACAGACGAAGGCGGGACCGCAGCCGCAGGAGAGACTCCGGAGGGAGAGACAAGGAGGTGGTTCGAGAGTCCCACACGAGACCCAGCCAAGTCCGAACCTGAGAGGGAACCAGATGGGACTTTCTCCAGTTCACCAAGAACCCGAACCCGGCGAGCTGGGAAAGAACCAAATCCCTGGCTAGCAAGCAAGCTGACTGGCTGGGAGCCCAAACCAGCCAGTCGTCGAGGTAGGCCAACACCCGAACACCTAGGAGACGCAAACGAGCCACCACAACCCGTGTAAGGCGTGTGAACACGCGAGGTGCCAGGTTCAACCCGAACGGGAGACAACGAAAGCGGTAACTCAGACGCGCCACTACAAAACCGAGCCAGTCCCTGAACCGCGGATGAATCGGGACATGCCAATAAGCGTCCCGGAGGTCCAGGGACACCATCCAAGCTCCCGGCTCCAAGAGGAGCCGAACCTGAGACAGCGTAGTCATCCGAAAGGAGGGGCAATGAACCCAGGGGTTCAGACGGGACAAGTCCAGAATGAACCGCAGGTCCGCGCAGTCCCGTTTCGGAACCGGAAACAGACGGGAAACCCATCTGAGGGACGACGTCGTTTCGACGACGCCCAAGCGTACCCACTCCAAGACGACTCGACAGAGCACAGGGGAAGAAGCCTGCCCTGCCAGCCCCGACCCCCCAAAGGGGGGAGGGGCCACCCAACGCCACCGCAGGCCGCGAGACACGACCCGAAAGGCCCACGAATCGTGGGACCAGGCGCGGGCGAACAGCGCAAGCCGCCCCCCCATCGCCCCGTCAAGGGGGCAAACCGCGAAAGGGCCGGCGACCCTTACGAGACCCAGAACCCCGCACAGCGCGAACACCGCGCCGACCAGACGAGGGAGGGTCCGCAGGAGGAGCCAACCCCAAACCTGACACCAGAGGCCTACCACGACGAGAGGAACCCCGAGCCCTGGCACGACCTTTCCGGGAAGACCCACCCCGGGACCCCCGGAAAACCAACAAGTCCGACATCGGACGACAAGCCGCCGACGCAGCCTGAATAAACTGCGCCACGGCCAACTCCCCAAACAGGAGAGGACAAAAAGGTGAAGAACGCCTAAGAGCCAGAGCCCAAGCAGATTCCACGGAGGAACCCAGCACCGCCTGCCGACACGCGAGACGGGAAGCATAGAACAGGGAAACCGCATCCCGCAAAATCGGCGTGAACAGCTTCAACAAGGCAGCCGACGAACGCGCAGCCGAGGACAAGGTGCCGGACCCCGGGACGGACCCAAGCGTCCCCACATCCTCCACGAGCCAATCCGAAGACAGCTCCAGGAGGGAAAAGAACCGCAAGGCCGAACACAAAAGGCCCCGAGCGCGCAAGTCCTCCGCCTCGAGCGCCGCCGAAAGGGAGGGAACCTGCACATGGAGCTGAATAACGCCCACATCGCGGGGAAGGGCAGGGGCAAACAAGCACTCATTCAGGTACTCAAGTTCACCCCCCAGGAAAACCTGAAGCACCGTGGAAGCTTCCCGCCTCTCCAGCGCGCGGGAACGACAGAAGGAATGCCAGGAATCCAGACCAAACAAGGGGCAGTCTGCTAGCCAGGACGACTCCGGAACCTCGTAACGGAGCCAGAAAGGGAACGAAGTCCCAAACCTGAACGTGGACGGATCCATTTCCGAGGCATAATCCGGGTCACGCAGGAGGTAAGCTGCAAAGGCCGCTCGCACCACACCAGGTTGGATGCGATAAGCCGAAAACCTCCGGAAGGACGGAACCGACGTACCCGGGGGAACACGGAACCGAACCTGGGGAGGGTCCGACACCAAATCCAACTCGTACGCAGAGGGGGGGAAAGAAAACCCCACTCCTTGTAACAATAAGCCCCGCTCAGTGGGAAGAAATACCCAGGCGGGGTCCAGCGGGGCCCAAGGCCCCCAAGTCAGCCCCTCCCCAGCCTCGAGGTCTGTCACCACAGGACCCGAGGCCGAGTCCTCTCCCCAAGCCCCGACCCCACAAGACAAGGACGGAGCAGCCGGAAAAGCTGGAGGAAGGGGGGCCCACTGGTCAGACCCTGAAGCTTCGGCCGGGAGACAAGACTCGAATGCCTCTGCCGCCCCCCCGGAAGGGGCAACCCCCGAAGCTGCCCGAGTCTCGAGATCAAGTAACCCCTGCTCCGACCCCGAAACCCTCAGACGCTTCGGGGCCGGAAGCAGGGGCGGGGGACCAGAACGAACAGAAGGGGAAGGACGAGGAGGTGCGGACTGAACCAGGATCGAAGCGACCCCCACCCCCAAGTCCGGGTCTCAAAAAGCAAAGCGGGGCAGCCCCGGGGCATCCGGGGAAGCAACCAACCGAGCGCGTTGCAACAGACGAAACCTAGACTGCAACGCACGTGCCGCCTGTACCCGAATAGAATCATCAGAGGATTGGGTAAATTGAGTCACAAGCAAGCAGCAACACTCACAGGACTCAGGGTCGAAAGTATCACCGACCCAACAGGCAGCGTGGCAGAGGCAAAAACAATGAGGGTCACCCTGAGACAAGGGGACCGAGCAACCCTCAAACTCGCACACAGCGAGTGGGGACTCCGGGGTCACATCCATCGGACCCACGCGCCCCCTAGGGGATTCCCAGGGTCCTGAGCGTTTACTTTAAGAGGACTCGCGCTCAGGTAGTCCCAGGCAGGGTGCTGCAAACCGGCGCCCAAAACTACCAAGCAAACTTCTAAAGCTGAACCCCAGGGACGTGTACACTCACGGGGACCTAGCAGGGGGCGCCACCGAGGAGAACAGTGGAAGGGCAAAAACAAACTGAATAAAATGATAGAACCCCCCACCAGGCAAAAACAAAAAGAAAAACAAAACCCCGCAAGAGGACAGCGAACCCCAAGGAACAGAACCGGCTGCGATGTCGGGAAATACAAGCTGAGCAGCACCCTGCGCCCCTACCAGTGCAAACTGCCTCTTACCTGCCGGTAACAAGGGAGAACAGAACACCCAAGAGCCCAACAGGCGGCCGAAAAACCGAAAGGTAAAATGGACCAGCAGAGGCAGACCCCGAGGAGCCTGTGGAAGGTGGCCCCAAGCCCCAAGGGCAGTACTTACAGGGCACCTAGGGAAGGCAGCCCTAGGCGCATGCAGCTGAGCAGCACCCTGCGCCCCTACCAGTGCAAACTGCCTCTTACCTGCCGGTAACAAGGGAGAACAGAACACCCAAGAGCCCAACAGGCGGCCGAAAAACCGAAAGGTAAAACGGACCAGCAGAGGCAGACCCCGAGGAGCATGTGGAAGGTGGCCCCAAGCCCCAAGGGCAGTACTTACAGGGCACCTAGGGAAGGCAGCCCTAGACACATGCAGCCCGAGTACTGAAGATAACTCCTGGCTCTCGCACCCACAAAACTAACACCACACGCAAAGCACAGTGCAGTAGCGACACCGGAACCAGAGCACACGACCATCGCCTATAGCATCAGCCTCAAGAACTGAGGTGTGGGTAGCCGGCGCGGGGGGTCTGGGGCTCCCCCTTCCCCCTCCCGGGGAGGGGGGAGCTGCGCAGACAGCGGCGCGGCAGTGTGTGACGTCACACTAGTTTGCTTGTTTTCGGTTGGGGAGTTCTATCCACTAGTTCGGTTTTAGGTAGCAATTTTAACCAGAATAGGGGTTTGTTTTGGGGCGCTTACCTTTCTGGGTGCCTGTTCCGGTCGATGGCAGACATAGAATGCTTCCAACTACACGGGGGCTTCTATAGGCCATTGCTCCCCTTGCCTCTCTGAGGGGGCCCGGTTCTGGCCGTGGTCCCCAGTAGGCCTAAGAACTCCATACACATGACTGATGCAAAAGTCTGACATTAGCATATCAGCCTGGGATAGCTCCGGGGAGCCGACGGGGCTCCCCCCAGAAATGCCTGGTTATAATAAAAATACCCCATGGACAATTTATGTCAAAGGCCACTTTGTTACAGGTGGTGGGAATTACCATCAGAATAATTTTTAGTCATTAAGAACACAGTAATATCATTTCTAAATTCATCACTAAAACAATACAAATTGTACAAAGTTCACTTTTTCCCAAGATGCCATGCAAGGTATTTAAATATAAACCAATAATCTACGGCATTACCTTTATAGTTTTATCCCTCCCAGCAGTTGCAATCCAAGTTTTAACATCAGGATGCCAGTCAAGTGCAAAAATAGGACCTCCATGGGCTGTAAACTGCTTCTCCACACGGTCAGATCTTCTCATGTCCCACAACTGAACATTTCCATTCTCAGAAACTGCACAGAAATTCACACTATGATGAGGGTTGAACTGCACATCTCTGACACTCTCCGCATTGCTGCAAGATGCATTTTTAAGTGTAATGACAGATACAAAAACATAACAGGATTTTAAGACAAATGAAATGAAAGCTAGAAAAGTACATTTTACCATATTTACTATTCTTTTCTAACTAAACAGAAAGAAGACTAATGAAAAATTGAATATAAATTGGTCTCAATACAGTATATTTTATCAGATATAGATCACCCTCAAATATGTAAACTGTTTTGACTGTTGTCCTTTCCCCTGCATCAAAGTCACTCTGATACACATTCTAGTAACTCATTTTAAAAAAAATTTTTATCCACAGCCCTTGTCAGCTTTAATACTTAATAAAACAGTACTGTACTGCATTTGCTTTTGATTTTGATCTAGGTCTATGAACACCATCTGATTTTCTCAATCCTCTTTCTAAACATTCCTAATATTTTACCCTGTCATTCACAATAAGTTTCATCCTTCACAGGCTATAATTTTTGGTAGTTCCTTTTCTTAATCTGTTGGCTTCTTTCTTTATACTAAATACATATATCAGTAATATTTATTTGCAACAATTCCTTCTGAAATGGTTATCAAAATGAAGCCTTGATCCTCACAAAATTATTCTCTTTTCAAAATAAAAAATTTCCATCTCTCAGAAGTACTTTTGTACTCTCAAAACTCAACCCATAAGCTACATACAGTGCAACCTCGATTCAACGTACCCCGATTCAACGAATCTCTGGCTAAGTCGCACACTTTTCAGGCCGGATTTACTCACCTGGTTCGATGAACAATGGTTCGCCGAAGCGGGGGATGTGCAGATTTGCTTATGATGTTGGGATAGAGTTCACAGAATGGTGGAAAACTTTCCCATTCTGTCACAGGTTACAATTAATAATTCCTTCATATGACAAGTTGGATCACACAAGTGAATCATATTAACCAAACACCAGCCAGAGTGGTACACACAATAAGTAAACCATATTAACCAAACCCCAACCAGAATGGTCCACACAAGTGAATGACTGAGTTTCCATGATTTTCGTTTACTGATTTGTGGTACAGTACACGTATCTTTGTAAATTAACTTAAAAGCTGAAGCGTGATTACCTAGTTACATGTGGTGAAATCTCCTTATAGACATTTTCTGTAATGAAACAAGATGAGTGAGGGTGGACAGATAAGGAAATACTGTTCTGTAAACCTCACTTGGTTTTCCTTCATCTGTGTTGTCAAAGTTCAGTGACCAATGATTTTGAAAGTTTCAGATTAATAAATCATTTCTAAAACCGGTGTTTTAATAGCATCTAATTAAATTAAACTAAATAAAACCCAAAATATACTGCAATATGATAGACATCTGCTATTTGAGAAATTATTTATGTTATTGGCACAACTCCAGCGCAGGTGGACCGGTCTAATCCATATACACACAGCACCATGCGTGTTTCATTCGATTTCGTCGCCAAAGTTCAGTGACCTATGGCCTCAAAATAATAAAATTAATAAATCAGTTCTAAAATAAGTTTTTTATAATTCTTAGTATCCTAATAATGTTTTAGGATGGAGTGGTCCACACAAATGAACGACTGAGTTTCCATGATTTTCGTTCACTGATTTGTGGTACACGTATCTTTGCAAATTAATTTAAAGGCAGAAGCTGAATAGCTAGTTACATGGGTTGAAATCTTCTTATAGACATTTTCTGTGATGAAACAAGATGAATGAGGGTGGACAAATAAGGGACAGAAAATGTTAAATTCCCTTCATATTGACAGATTGAGATGAAAATTTTCCTCCCTCCCTCACTGGCTCGACCTCCCTTACTGTTTCTCCCTCCCTCACTGGCTCGACCTCTCTTACTGGCTCAAGCTCCCTTACTGTCTCTCCCTCCCTTACTGGCTCAAGCTCCCTTACTGTTTCTCCCTCCCTCACTGGCTCGACCTCCCTTACTGTTTCTCCCTCCCTCACTGGCTCGACCTCCCTTACTGTTTTTCCCTCCCTCACTGGCTCGACCTTACTGTTTCTCCCTCCCTCACTGGCTCGACCTCCCTTACTGTTTCTCCCTCCCTCACTGGCTCAACCTCCCTTACTGTCTCTCCCTCCCTCACTGGCTCGACCTCCTCTACTGTCTCTCCCCTCCCTCACTGGCTCGACCTCCCTTACTGTCTCTCCCTCCCTCACTGGCTTGACCTCCATTACTGTCCCTCCCTCCCTCACTGGCTCAACCTCCCTTACTGTCTCTCCCTCCCTCACTGGCTCGACCTCCCTTACTGTCCCTCCCTCCCTCACTGGACCTCCCTTACTGTCCCTCCCTCACTGGCTCAACCTCCCTTACTGTGTCTCTGCCTCCCTCACTGGCTCTCCCTCCCTCCCTCACTGGCTCAACCTCCCTCACTGGTTCAACCTCCGTACTGTCTCTCTGCCTCCCTCACTGGCTCTCCCTCCCTCCCTCACTGGCTCAACCTCCCTCACTGGTTCAACCTCCGTACTGTCTCTCTGCCTCCCTCACTGGCTCTCCCTCCCTCCCTCACTGGCTCAACCTCCCTCACTGGTTCAACCTCCATACTGTCTCTCTGCCTCCCTCACTGGCTCTCCCTCCCTCACTGGCTCAACCTCCCTCACTGGTTCAACCTCCCGTACTGTCTCTCTGCCTCCCTCACTGGCTCTCCCTCCCTTACTGTCTCTCCCTCCCTCACTGGCTCAATCTCCCTTACTGCCTCTGCCTCCCTCATAACATGAGAACTGCAAGTCATGGAATAGGGAGCAACTAACGGGGTAGAGGAGCCACTAACGGGGTTGGAGGGAGCCTGTCCCTCCCAGCCACCAAGACCTCTTCCCCACCCCCCTAGATCCCACACAGTCTGTATTCACCTAGTTGTGCTTATGGGGGTTGAGCTCTGCTGAACAAATCCACAAAGGCATTGACGAGGATTCGAACCTACGTCCGAGATCATCCCAGACGCTGCCTTAATCAACTGAGCTACGACATTGTCAATAGAGTTGAAACTAGGAGTTCTACTGCCCTTACTTGGATCCTGCAGCCTCTCCGAGACACAAACCAGGGTTTTACACAACTCCCCCATGCACTCGAGCTATGTCAATAAGCCGTTCTACCTCTTTGCCCTTACTTCGTGTAATGCCCTTACTTCGAGTAATAAAGTAAGGGCGAAGAGGTAGAACGGCCTATTGACATAGCTCGAGTGCATGGGGGAGTTGTGTAAAACCCTGGTTTGTGTCTTGGAGAGGCTGCAGGTTCTGAGTAAGGGCAGTAGAACTTCTGGTTGCAACTCTTTTGACCATGTCATAGCTCAGTCAATTAAGGCAGCGTCTGGGATTGATCTTGGACGTAGGTTGAATCCTTGTCACAGCCCTTGTGGATTTGTTCAGTGATGCATCACGTTATTGTGATTTCTGTGTGTAATTGAGCTCTGCTCTTTCGGCCCACCTCTCAACTGTCCATCTACTGTTACTAACTACTAATTTTTGTATTATTATTATTTTTTTCACACATACACACCCCAGGAAGCAGCCTGTAACAGTTGTCTAACTCTCAGGTACCTATTTACTGGTAGATATCAGGGACATTCAGGGTGAAAGAAACTTCGCCCATTTGTATCTGCCTGGTCTGATAATTGAACCCGGGCCACAAAATTATGAATCCTGCGCGCTGTCCACTCAGCTACCAGACCCCCCCCTAAGGCAGACCTGTCTGCCGCTGCTCTTGCAGATGCCAACTGTGCAGAATTCATATATAAAACCATTTGTTTAATTAATAAACAGGAATCAATAAAACATGTTAATGATTAGTATTGTATAGTAATACACAAAAATTAACATTTTTGCATAAATATTGTACAGCTAAGATTAAAAATTTGAATACAGTATGGGTGGGAGGGCTTGGCAACCATCGCTTGATCAGCGCTCCTTCCCTCCCTCTATCCCTCAATCACTGCCTCCCCTCCCTCCCTCCTAGACTGCTTCTATATCTCTCTCCCTCAATGCCTCCATCAATCACTGCCTCCCCACCTTCCCTCCCTCCCTCCATCAATGCCTTCCCTCCCTTCCTCACTGCCTTCCCTCCCTCCCTCACTGTTTCTATCTCTCCCTGCCTCTCCCCCACAATGTCTCCATCAATCACTCCCTCCCTCCTTCTATCACTGCCTCCCCTCCCTCTCTCACTGCCTCCCCTCACTCCCTCACTGCTTCTACTTCTCCCCCTCAATGCCTCCATCCATTACTGCCTTCCTCCATTAATCACTGCCTCCCCTCCCTCCATCAATGCCTTCCCTCCCTCACTCAATGCATTCCCTCCATCTCTCCTTCTATCTCTTCCTCAATGCCTCCATCTCTCACTGCTTCCTCACCCTCCCTCAATGCCCCCCATCTCTCCCTCACTGCTTCTATCTCCCTGCCTCTCTCTATATATAACTCCAACAATAAGGTAAATAACAACTGTAATACATTATATTTTAGTAAAGTAGTAATATATAGGTACAGTATATAATATGATAATGCATTTTTATTGTTTACAAGAAAAAAAAGACTGATGCAAACGTCTCTTGAAGGTCACCTCTTGCAACGAATCCAACGCGGCAACGCACCAGGGTTGGTCCCATATTAGTACGGTGAATCGAGGTTGTATTGTATTTTATCCCAAACTTCACTAAACATGAACTGGGTTCAGTATATGCAAGTTTGCATATGCTTTCATGCATTTCATACATTTTTCTGAGAAGGCCAAACCTGTAGCTCTCTGAAACTCATGCACTGACACAGTATAGTCAAACTTTACCAATCACACCAGGCTTTTAAGACTCCCAGTAGGCTGGCCTACTGAAAGCTATGCCCAGAATCTACCTCTCAAGATAAAGCTACTTCAGTCATCAGTCATACACTTGGGGACAGAGAAACTAGAAAAACTATCCCTGGTTTAGAACTAGGAAAACTAACTAGAAACTATCCCAAACTAGAAAAAGTCCACAGATAGGAAAAACAAAACAAGATACTGCTTGAAACAAAGAAATGAGCCCT